CACACACACACACACACACACACACACACACACACACACACACACACACACACGAAACAAACGAATGAAACAAACAAAAAAAATTTTTTTAACTCCCGAATAAAGCCCGGAGAGCGCCAGACGCAAAAGCCCGTTGGTTCAGATCCAGGAGAGAAACTCACCCTGCAGCCCCTAAGCCGAGGAGCAAAGCATTGGAGAGACAAATCACTCAGTATAGGCGCCTTGGTTTGCTCATCAGGTAAAAGGCTGCCAGAGTTGCATTCCTCTCTGGATCCCAGAATGAGGTCCCCAAAATGTTGACTGGCGAAAAATAACTCTCCAAGTAATCCACAAAAGAAAAGGTTTATTCAGGAAAAGAAAAAGAAGCAAGACCACCACCACAGTGCAGAAAGCACACCTCCTACACGGAGTTCCGACCCGCAGCCCACCTGCAGCAAAAGACCCCAGTTACAAGGTGGGTAATCCCTTTATTATGATCCCTCCCCCAGAAATTACCATAAGGATAAACAGGAAGTCAGGATTATAGAGTTAACAAGGGGCCCAGCTCCACCCATAGTCCTCCCAACTCTATGGTTAAGCATCTTAAGATGTCAGTTCACTTTATCAGAGAATATGAAAAAATTAGATCAAAGACTGTGGTTAGAAAGGAACTGTGTTAAATGATGAAACAAGAGATAACATACATATTCCAGAATGGGGCAGGGATGCCCATATTCTTAGCTAATAGTCAATGCTTCGTATTAAAGTGCTGGCCAATGCAATGAAAAACAGAATTGAGACCAGAAAATCAAAAGAAAACAAACAAACAAACAAAACAAATAGAACTGATTTAGAGGTTGAAGGCATGATCAATACAGGTGGAACCGAGGGGATTATTAGGGCAGTAAAATTTTTCCGTATGATACTGTAATGTTGGAGACATGACTGTGCATTTGTCAAAACCCACAAAACGTACAACAGAATCCTAAAGTAAATGGTGGAAGGGCCGGCTGAGTGGCTCAGTTGGTTAAGAGCTCGCTCAAGAGTTTGAGCTCTGAGCAACAGCGGTTCGAGTCAGCCCGAGCTGAGCAGCCGTGAGCTGCCAACAGGTGGCGGGATGGCTCAGCTAAAAAAAAAATAAATAAAAATAAAATAAAAAATAAAAAAATAAAGTAAATGGTGGACTTCAGTTAATAATAATGTGTCAATAGTCACTCATCAATTGTAACAAATGTATCATACTAATGAAAGATGTTACTGGTAGGAGAAACTGGAGGGTGGGAGGAAAGGGGTCTATGGGAGCTCCCTGAACTTTCAGCTCAATCTTTCTGTAACCCTAAAACTGCTCTAAAAATGTACATTAATTAAAAAACTAATCAAAATAATTACAAAAAAAGTGCTTGCTACTGAGTCACTGCTCAATGAACATCAACACTTCTAATATGAATAAACCACCAGGTGCATAGTATATGCTCAATAAATCAACTATTTCAAAATATTTTTCTCTTCTGATTATAAAAATGAATCACTTTGAAAATTAAATAATACTATGGAAAAGGAAACCCTACATATATTATTTACTCTTTTGGTTAATAGAATAGTGGTGCTCACCTGGGGTGATTCTGCCCCCCTACCCTGACACTGGAGACACCTTTGGTTGTCATAACTGTGGGGAAGGGGAGAGTGCTACTGGCATCTAGTGGGTGGAGGCCAGGGATGCTGCTCAACACCCTACAATTCACAGGACAGCCCCACAATAGAGGATTAGTCAGCCCAAAATGTCAACAATGTCAAGGCTGAGAAATTCTGGCATTAACTCTTTTTATTTTACTTTTTAAAATCTAAGTGAGACCTGACTATAAATATCACTGGGCAACCTGCTTTTTCTCCCTGTTCCTTAACGTCCTGGGCAGACTCCACCCCCATGATCTTTTTATCACCAGCCTGGTTTTCTGTCCCCTGAAAATCACCATGTCCTATATTCCAGGCTTACAAGATGGACACATGGATTGTCTTTTTTTTTTAACCTCCAGCCCTTGGCTTTTCTGAACTTCAATGTGTTCCCTGTACATACCAGCCCATTTTCTTGGGCCAGGTTCAGGCATCATCACTAAAGGTTCAGAGTCCCAAAGACTGAGAGGTCTTACTATAAAGCTATGGGAGTCAAGACAGTGTGGTACTTGTATAGGAATAGGCCAGTGGCTCTCACCCAGGGGCAGTTTTGCCCCCAGAGGCCATTGGGCAATGTCTGGAGACGTTTTTGATTGTCATGACTGGTGGGAGGATGCTACTGGCATCTAGTGAGTTGGCATCTAGTGATCAAGGATGTCTGCTTTTTTCAATTTTATCAACATAGTATTGCAAGTTCCAGCCAAAGCAATTAGGCATGAAAAAGAAAGAAAAGGCATCCAAATTGGCTGGCCAGGGATTTCATGACACTACTCTAAGCAGTGTGCAATTTAAAATGTATGGGTTGTTTATTTCTGGAATTTTCCATGGAATGTTTCAGACTATGGTGGACTGTGAGTAACCGAAACATTGGAAAGTGAAACTGCAGATGAGGGAAGACTATTGTATTAGTTTCCTGTCACCGCCATAGCTTAAGAAAATAAAAATTTATTCTCTCACAGTTCTAGAGTCCAAAAACCTGAAATCAAGGTGTTGCCAGTATTATGCTCCCTCTGAAGGCTCTAGGTCAGGATCCTTCCTGCCTCTTCCAGCTTCTGGTGACCCCAGGCATTCCATGGCTTGTGGCCCCATCACTCCAATCTTCGCCTCCATGTCCACATGACTTTCTCCCTATGTGTTTATGTCTCTGGGTCTTTCCTCCTCTTCTTATGAGAACACAGTCATTGGATTCAGGGCCCCTCCTAATCCAGTATCACATTCTGAGGTTCTAAGTGGACATGCATTTTTGGGGAGGATTCTATTGAACCCAGTATAGGGGACCCAACTGCCAGGTGATCAGGGGGCCATGGGAGCCATGGAAGGTATATGGCCAGAGGTGAGTGCAGCCTGCTGTCAGGGTCACAGAGACCCCAGCGGCTGGTGTGCAGACATCGTGGAGGCTGGCAGGGTCCAGGCAAAAAGGAGAGCAAGGAGGGGCTGCTTCAGGAGGGAGTCGGGGGGGGGGAGCTGCATGTCAGGAGGGTAGTACAATGCACCCTGGTGTGTGAGTGGTCACCTCATTCTGATGCTTTCAATACTCAGGTTTATTCATTCACAGGCTTGAGGCAAGAGACAGAGATTTGCACTCAGATCTGACTGAGAGGTCTCAGGCCAGAATGATTTTTCAGAGAGCTCAAGACATTAAGCCTCAGAGTCCATTTATTTGATGTATCTGGATAAAGTCTCTAGCCAAGTGTCAGGAACATTCCAGGGACATGTACTCGCTGGGCTGATGGGATCCTGTACACCAGTGATGTATCAGCAATGGAGTCCCAGCATCATGCAGCACCCAGGCCTGTCCCTACCCCTTCCAGACTCACTGAGTGACCTCAGGAAACCTCACTGAGCCTCAGTTTTTCCTCTGTAAAGTGGGTTCATAGTCTTTAATAGATGTGATGGGGAAAGTGTCTAGGCACAGGGGGAAAGCTGAAACATTATTTCTCCTTCTTCCTCCCCTCTTGCTCCCAAGGTCAGGGGCCATATAACATCCAAAGGGAGGAAAACAGGTAGGGGGTGAAAAAGAAGAGCTGGTGCCAAACTCTGGATTCGTCTTTGGTTTGCTCTGTGACCTTAGCCAAGTTCTTGCCCCTCTCCAGGCCTTATTTCTCCACCTGTCAAATGGTGTGAAGGGGGCTTGGTTTGTAGACCTCCAAAATCCTTGCTAAGGTTAAGACACCTCCCAGGAAAGAGCTATGATCTTTCTCAGACCCTAATGTTGGACCTGGAAGCTTCCCATGTTGTCCAAAGAGGACTCTAACACCTTTCTATTGTAGAAAAATCTGGCCTCGTTTTGGGGCAGCGGGCAGCAGGTGGGGGTGTAGCATCTAAGACTAGGGGCTGGCTGGAAACAGGGTGCTGGATAAAATGACCTTCTGGAGGTGTGGCTTTGCTTTTTTTAATAGGGTGGACAGGCAGTCCTGAGCTCATTTGCATATGAAGCTATCCAGCCAATCAGAGCACAAGGCCATTGCCCCTTGGCTTGGGATTGGCCCATGGCCTGGGATTGGCCCACCCTGAGATTCCATCCCAGGCGGTCAGTCCAGGGCTAGCTCAGAGGTCAGTCTCCTGCAGGTCATGACCATTCTCATGTCCACTGCCAGCGGTCCAGGAGCCAGAGGTGGTTCCATTTACCTCCTTCTGCCCCAGGAAGAGCAGACGGTCGTCATCAATGGGCAGGAAGTCAGGAGGCCTCTTGGCTCTGGGAGATAGATCCTCAGCCCCCTGGGGGGGAGGAGAAAAGAAAGACTTCCTCAGAGACCCCATTTCTGTTCATCTCCTAGATGGGGGGACATTGAGGGCCTGGGAGTCTGGAATCTGGGCAGGGTTGCACAATATCCCCTTGTCCAGTGCATCAGCCAGTCCTGTCCCCTCTGCCTCCAAAACCTCCACCCACTTCTCTTCCCCATGCCCATGTCACCTACAGTCCAGGCCATCAATGCTTGCACACATGCCTGCCTCTCTCCTCGCTCTGGCTCTCTGCTTGTTCCACTCTTCAAGAAAAAAATATTTCCCCACAGCAGCTGGAGGGAGCTTTAAAACATTTTAGCCAAATCATTTCCCTTCCTAGCCCTCTCCTTTTCAAGACTGTTCCAGCCTTAGGTCCTTGGCACCTGCTGTACCCTCCATTGAGAAACCCCTTCCTCCAGATCTCCGTATGTCTGGCTCCTTCTCCTCATTCTGGGCTCTGGCAATGTCCCCTCTTCCAGAAGGCCACCACCACCACAGTATCCTGTTCTATTGTATTCCTAACACATTTTTCAGTTTAGCTTTTATCTGCTTCTGCTGGGCTCAGACCCCAGCCCAGAGCTGGATATACAGCAAGTGCTTAATAAATGAGGGAATAAAACAGGGAATCCAAAGTAGGGGCAGGTCTGAATCAGACCCCCCCAAGGACAGTGTTTTCCAAACTCAAGGCATTTATAGTAACCAGGGGCTTTAGCCAAAGTCAGTCAACCCTGTTGTTTCTTACTTAAGATTTTCTCTAAGCTGACTCACTTTTGAATTAAGTAATTTTATTTTCAGGAGAGTCTTTATATCACTGCCCTAAAGGCAAACCAGTTTCACCTGCCATAGATTAGAAGTAAGTGTAAAAACAGATGTAATGAAAATGAAAAGTATGTCTTTGTTACAGGGGATAATAAAAGGTGTTGGTGACACATCAGCTCCCTATTGAGTTTTCCACAGGAGATAACGAGTAGACAAAAAAGACTGTGACTCACCATGTTATTCTCCTGAGTTATGGCCATGCCCAGAGCACCCCAAGTTACTTCACCACCCCTCCTCCCATTCTGGGAGCCCAGCCCTGAGACTGACCTTCATCAAGCTGTCATCCAGGGTGGCCGCTTCTTCCTTGGGGGTCACCGAAGCTGTCTGCTGTTTGAGGTCCCACCACAGCAGACCAGGACTCAGGGCACTGCGCTTGGTGGGGCCTAAGGGGCAGAGAGAGTTGAGGTCATTTAGTGAGAGGTGGTGGGAACTGGAGACCAGGCCCTGAGGGGAAGGGAAAGTTTTGATAGGTTCTAACCCCAGATGCGATGGTGACCCACTGTAAGACCTTCACAAGTTTCTGCTTCTTTCTGGGCTTCAGATTTTTTTATCTATACTTCAGTGGATTGCTTACAGGGTCTAGCATGTGGTTCTGTTCATTGATACGTGCCCAGCATCTAGAATAGTGCTTGGCACAGAAGCGGACTCAATAAAGGCCTGGTGAATGTAAACTCTAGACTCAGGAAGCAGGAACAGGTACTGTTATCTTTATTGATTTATCTTGATCTCCTTCTGGGGTTCAGAATTCCCCCTGAAGGAGTTGGAGTGGCCAGGGTCCTGATTAGAAAATATTTCAGCACCAGGAACAGTGTCTTGTGGCCCCACCTCATATCCCCTAGCAAGGACTTAATAAGCTTTGGTGGGGAGAGTGCTTCAGTTTCTGCCTTTGCAAAATAGGACAAGCCCTGCAAGGTGCAGGGTTGTCCTGAAGGAGACGTAGCATAAAGGGTGCCGATGTGCCCATCACGCAGTGCCACTTGGCCAACAGGAGTGTCCTTTCTCCCCTCCCTGCCCAGTGGGTCCTAGAGACAGAGGATGTCCAGGGTGGCCTCTCACACCCTGCTTACCCGTCAGGCAACTGACAAGGGCTCCACATAGTATGGTGGTCAGTGTGCCCAGGGCACCATAATAAAGATACGAAATGGCGTAGAAGCTGTCAGCCAAGGTGGATCGACCAAGGTCCATTCTGGGGATGGGAGAGGTGAACATGAGTCTAAAAAGCATTCCCAATCCATTCACTTCCTTCCTTCTCCACTGCCACAGTCCAGTCTTCCGTTATTACTCACCCAGATGTGTGCTGTAGCCAGTATTCCTATCCTGCTATCTATCCCACTTTTACCCTCAAGCATTCTCCACACACAGCCAGAAGGAGTGTTACTTAAATGTAACTCAGATCACATCCTGCCACTGCTTATTACCATCGTGGCTCCCTATTGCCCTCAGATCAAACCAAATTAAACTCTTAGAAGAAAACGTAGGTGTGGGGCCGGCCGAGTGGCGCGATGGTTAAGAACTGGCTTGGGACGCCAGAGGGCCCCGGTTCAGATCCCACATATGAGGGCCAGTGACGCTGCCCTCTACAGCTAAGATGCTGAACAACAGCTCAACCTGGAGCTGGGCTGCCGTGAGTCGCCGGCGACGGCGTAGGCTGCAGCCCCTGTGGCAGTGGGTTGCCATGGGTGTAGGCTGCAGCCCCTGTGGCAGTGGGTTGCCATGGGCTACCATATGTAGCCAGCAGCCAGCGTGAGCGCCCAGCCACAGTGAGCGGCCATGCAGAAGCTGGCGATTGATCTGCCTCTACCGTGAAGAACGCAATGATGGTGCCAACTTGGGCCAGTGAAGCAACGTCCTCCACAACTAGACTGAAGAACAAAAGGACAGCAACTTGTCTGTTCCCCTTCCCCCAATTCCCCCCCAAAAAAAAGAAAAAAAAAGAAAACGTAGGTGCGAATCTTTATGACCTTGGATTTGGCAATAATTTCTTGAATATGACACCAAAAGCACAAGCAGCCAAAGAAAACAGATAAGTTGCACTGCATCAAAATTAAAAACTCTTGTGCATCAAAGGACACTATCAAGAGAATAAAAAGACAACTCACAGAATGGGAGAAAATATTTTCACATCATACACCTGAAAAGAATCTAGTATCCAGAATATATAAAGATATAAAGAATATATAAATTACAACTCCACAATAAAAAGACAAATAACCCGGTATTAAAATGGGCAAATAATTTGAATAGACATACAAATACATATGGCCAAAAAGCATGTGAAAATGTGCTCAGCATCGTTTGTTGTTAGAAAACCACAAATCAAAACCACAATGAGATCCACTAGGATGGCTACAATGAAAAAAAAAAAGGAAAATGATAAGTGTTGGGGCGGACGTGGGGAAATTGGAACTCTCTTACATTGCTCGTGGGAATGTAAAATGATGCAGCTGCTGTGGAAAATAATCTGGTGATTCTTCAAGAAGTTAAACAAAGAATCATATCATTCAGCAATTCTAGGTATAGACCAAGAAAAATGAAAACATATGTCCACACCAAAACTTGTTCACAGCAGCATTATTCACAATCACCAAAAGGTAGAAAACAACCCAAATGTCCATTGACTGATGAATGGACAAACAAAATGTGATCCACCCACACAAGGGAATATTAGTCAAAAAGAGTAATGAAGCACTGACACCCACTACAATGTTGATGGACCTTGAACATCATACGGAGTGAGAGTAGCCAGACACACAAGGTCACATATTATATGCTTCCATTTATATGAAATGTCCAAAACAGGAAAATCCATAGTGACAGAAAGTAGATTAGTGGTTGCCAGGGGCTGAGGGAGGAGAAGTAGGGGCGATTGCTAATGGGTATTGTGCTTTTTTTTCTTTTGTTTTTTGAGGTGATAAAAATGTTGTTGAGTTAGATAGTGATGATGGTTGCATAACCTTGCAAATATACTACAACTCACTTCCAAATGGCTAATTTTATGGTCTGTAAATTATATCTCAAAAAAAATCAGACCAAATTCCTCTGGCTGGACCTCATCTCCTATCCTTTCTCCTCTCATTAAATCCGCCTCCCCCCTCCAACCTCACCATAGTCCATTGTACTAAATGGAACCTGGCCTCAGGGCCTTGGCACTTTCTGATCCCTCCTCTGGGAATGCCTTTCCCTCACCTCATCCCAAGCCCAGCTCCTCCTTAGCTTTCGGGACTCAGTTTAGGGGTCCCTTCCTGAATACTCCCTCTCAGGCCACGCCTCCCCCCCTTCCC